ATGTAATGCATTTTATGCCAAACCAGAAATATTAAATGAAAATTTCATTCAAATCATATGCACAATGTATATCAAATGAGAATGCATGGTACGTGACTGAGACAAGTGTGCGCTATACAATTTTACTGTCACTAAATAAATTGCACTTTTAGTGCCAGACAAATGTATAGGTATTGTAGAACACAACATCACTATACCAGTAATCAAGAATACCACAATGTCAAACATTATGAACTCCATATTGCACGTATAGTGCCAGTAGAATATGCATGTATGTACCAATACAGAATTCCGTAATTACTCTACCTCAAGGCATGCCAATTATACCAATGACTCTCAATGCAAATACAATGGGCTTAATATCAAAATCACATAGCATTCATTTGTCAGAAATATCCAATATACATATATGTCAAAATATCATATAATAGTGTATTGGGCAATTTATACCCGAAATCATTCAAATATCATTTAGCAGAACATTATGAAAATATATCATAATATGATTTAAATCTTTTTCATTTCCAAAGCATTCGAAGTTGACTCATTGCAAGTCTTACTCATATCATACATATAATACTATAAGTATAGTAATGCACTCACTTGATATACTTAGCTTGCAAACCTTTCTTAGCAATTCAAATTTCACTTTTGAACTTTTTCCTTAGCTATAAGCTTGCTTTGATTTCGATTTTGATCACGATCTATACGAACACCATTTACAAATTATATACATTTCAAAGTACATGTTAGTATCTTATTAACATAGGCGTACATTGGCATAAAATGATTTAAAATTTCTTTCAATACTTATTCGATACTAATTTCATTTCATTTTGTCAATACCAATCTTAACACTTCAAAATACAACTTCAGTATTTAATTCAATGAATACTTCACATAACATTCCAATTTCGCAATTTTATCATCAAAATGAATTCTTTTAGAATTCATCCTAATATTTCCAAAATATGCAAAATGGTCCCTTACCATTTAACTTCAAGTTCAATCTTCTAACAACACATTGAAGCATTCCAACATTTCAGTTAAACATTACACATCAATTTCTATTTCAATCCCATATTTTCTACACTTTGCTATTTGGTCCCTTAACCTTTACAAACTTTCAAATTAGTCCAAACAACATTTTAAAACTTGTAGAACCATTCATTCATGATGTCTAACCATAAAATATTTCACAAAAATTTCGCTATTTATTTCCCTTAGGTCGAATAACAAGATTCACTTTAGACATGATTTTCAACTTGATTCAAGCATTAATTCAACTTCCAAAATCATTTCCAAGCAATTACAATTTATCACATATCAAATTCAATTAAAATTTCCATAAAAAAAACCCAATAGTCGAATTTATGTATATACCATTTCTAATGGTTTTTCATCACTTTCAAGCATTGAAATGATTCAACAACATCAACTAGATCATAATCTAACCTTAGAACATCAAATGATACCAAATGATAGAGAAATTCATGTAAAACAATTTTGTATTTCATACTTTCATCCAAATTCCTAATAAATTAGCTTGAAAATTGAAAACAAAACACTTCCTTATCTTAAGGGGAGTTCATGGCATGGACAGAAAAAGAATGAGAAAGTCTTGAATTTTTTTAAACAAAATATCTAAGCCGTTTGTCCCTTTAATAACTAAAATAGATTAAAAATTCATTTTAATGTCAAATGACATTTTGTCCTTATAATCTCATGTCCCATAACTAGCCACATGATAATTTTGTTCATCCAAAGGTCAAAGATGAACCAAAAAATTAATAACTTCCAACTTTGCCCTTATACTTTTCCAAAACTACAATCTTGTCATTTTTCATCCAATGGTCCATATTAAACCCTTCCATTTTAAGGGTTGGAAATGAAATTATTAACCTTGTTTTATCATCTATCTAAATATCTCAATTATTCGATTCGGTTAAACTGTACACGTTTTTCTCAAACTTTAACGATTTATAGCTTTTAATACAAACTCCGTACGAAAAATCCGAGTGATATGAAAATGATATTCTTGGGGCTAAACTATTCATTTACGGGATAAAATTGGAAAATTACATTTTGGTCCCTAAACTTTTTTTCTAAGTTTTACACCTTGACTACTAGGCTTTTAATTTATTCATTTTGGTCCCTAGCCAAAATTTTGGGTGTTACAATATTCATAAAGCGAGAGATAATAACAACATAAACAAACTGAAAATAATATATTCTTAGATTTTATAATAGTAAATAGTAATCATATTAATATAATTTAGATTAAATCGACTCATTTAAATAATAATTAATATAATCATAATAATAATTTTATCTTATTGTAATTTATAAAATTTTGAATGAATTATTTAAAATTATTTATCAAAGAATTAAAACAATATTTTATAAAATTTCATTATTTTAATTGTAATTATTATTTAATGAATTTTATAGAAAATTTCCGAAAATAAGTGACAATCAAATATTACATGAAAGAAACAAAAACCATTGCCACGTGGGGGAGTTGTCTGTTTATGATAACAGCAGTTTTGGAAAAGAAAATTGGGGAAGCATATTCGATGAAAAGATAATTACTAATTCTCAATCAAGTCCTATGATAATTAATGGCATAATGACTCAATGCCCCTCAATGTTTGCATAAATGATCACTTTACCCTTATTCTTTTGTTTCGATCATTTTACCTCCCGATGTTTCATTTTTTTTTGTCAAAACATACCTTGTTGGATGAAAACCATAGTTAATTAACGATCAACATATGTAATTGACATGAAATTTTTACATGTAATCAATTGATGTCGTGGCATATGCAATGTCACCCAAAATGATGATGTAACATGTGCCATGTCACCCAAAATAATGATGTAACATGTGCCATGTCATGAAAGTAATAGCATGGCTAGTTGGACACGTCACCTAAAATGATGATATGATAAATGTCATGTCAACAATTGATCATATGTGAAAATTTCACGTCAACAACATGTGTTAAAAGTTAGTCAATCAACGGTTTTCATCCAATATGATATGTTTTGAGAAAAAATGAAACGTTAGGGTAAAATGATAAAAAAAACAGAGGCAAAATGAATATTTATGCAAACATTCGGGAGTAACTGTGTCATTATGCCATAATTAATTAATTAAAATTAATTAGTAGCAGCCTGTATTAACTTTCCACATATTAAAGTGGGATACTATGCTTATCAATAATTAATCACAAACAATTCAATTTCGGTTTAGTCATTGAGTATTTGAGTTGACTGTTGACATTTTATAGTTTTTTTATATTCTCCAGTTTCTTTTAGTGTACACTGCAAAAAAAGAGGCCATAGCGGAAAAAAAGATTTAAGGTTGTATTTTACAATTTTATGGAAAAAGAATTAAGTCTTTAAATTATTTTATTTGTAATTTACCTTTTAAATAAAAAAATTAAATCAGATTAAAATTTTAAATTAATTAAGTTTTTTTTATTAATTTTAATGGTTAAATTTTAATAAATTGTTTATACATTGTTCGACATGACACGTTATACGTGAAATTTATAATTTTTTAAAAATATATAAATTATAAAATAAAATCTTATAATTTATATATTAAAAAATTAATAAACTTTTTAAAGTATCATTAGAGAATAATATGATATGATGTATATCGATTCAAAAAATATTAAATTTAAAAATTAATACTGACGAAAGAGGTAAATTGATTAAATTTTAAAATATATAAATTTAATTAAATAAAAAAATAATTTCATGTAATATTTAAAAAGTCCTTAATTCAAATAGTTATATAAACAGTTTTCTTTTTTCTACTTAATTTGTCACCACATTAATTTCGCATCAGTGTGCTTATCAATTAATAAATGTTAAAGGAGGATATTATTAATGTTATTTTAATTAAAGAGTAAATAAATGTGGGTTACGCTACCTCTCCCCCAATCATGAGAAAACAAATACGTAATCATCGTCACGTAAAATATTATAATAATAATAATTTTAGAAAATTGTAATTAAACCTAACAAACGTGTTCATCAGAATAGTATTGAAGAAAGAGACAAATAGAACAGAAACCAAACCCAACTAGAATACTGCTTACTACTTTCACCGCAGTATTCTCTCAATCTCAAAAAAGGCTGTTATTGTTGGCTGCACTGAAGTTCGTAATAAAGGTTGGGTAAATTACTCTGTTGCTCTCTTCTTTTTTCTTATTTATATTCTAACCACTCGATTTTAATTTATTATATGTTGACCGCTTATATTATCGACTAACTATAAATTGGCCATCGAGATGTTAGTTCATTATATCGATGATATGATATATTAACATAGTTTCCAATTTAATCTCGAACTTTAGATAAAATATTATTTTAATAATTTTAAATAATATTTTAACTATAATCATGTAAAAGCCCTCACTATCTTCCTTGGTTTCATTGTTCCGGTAACCATATCTTTTTCAGGATACATTTGTTTGTTTCTACTCTTCCAAGTAAGAAATTAAATAGCAATTGAATTGTGAAATAGCGGTTAGTATATAACGATAGTGGCATCGTTCGAAATTACTATTATTGAAAATAGTGGTGTGAAAAAAATCACACCAACGGTGTAAATTCTCATAATCCTCAACAGGAACTTAAGCATAATCGACAATATAATCAACAAATGCTTCAACTTTAAAAGTAGTAAATGCTACTACTTATCGAAGTAATCGATCGACAAAATGTAATGCAAATTCTTATTCTGATCACCTTGCTTCACCATCATCATCTTCTATCATTTAAGTTAATTCTTAAAGGATTAATTTATAATTATTTGATAATATAAGTGACGAAAACACAATAATTGAAAGTTTAGTTCTTGAATTCAAAAATAGTTAAAATCAATACCACCAATGTAATTTATTCAAAAAAAAATTGTTAACCTTCAAATGGGAAAAAACCACGACAGAATCTCGTGCGTATCTATGTTAGAAGTTAGGTTCAGGGTAAAAGCCACTTTGGGTTCTTGTTTTGTTTCTCTCAGACTCGGTTTTGCTTTGGTTCTGTTCGAAGGGGGTACGTATGTTAAAGATTTTCACTTTGGGTTTGTTTTGTTCTTGGTGATAGCAGATCCTGTGGTCGATATTTGGGTTGACCCCACCTTTGGGTCTCTTCTTCTCGCAGTTATGAATGATAAGAAAAAGAAAAATCTGTCTGTCCTTTGAATCATTCATTTATGTTTCTTTTATTTCTTTTTTTCCCTATGTGATCCATACCTGGTGCCGGTTTGTTCTTTCATTTTTTATTGCTGAATTTCACTTTTACCATTTGTTTCTTCATTTTTGGTTTCTATGGCAAGTTGGCATCAAATTCATGTTTCAAAGATTTCATTTTTGGTCCTTTTTCAGCTTGAAAGTTCAACCACTTTACTGAGATTTCACGTTATAATTTTTTTGTTTTGAGATCCGATTTAAAATTTTGTTTAGATATTGAATTTTGGGTTTGTCTCCTCCGTTTTAATATCATGGTTAATGCTTCTGGGTTCAATTCATTTGCAGGTTTTGCAGGCGGCTTCTACTTCTTCTCAGTCAAGTTTTGTATGAATTTCAAGTGAAGAGATCATTTCCTGCAAAATAGAACCTTGTACAGTTTGGGAATTTGAAATCGAGTTTTGTGAAATAGGGAGCAAGTGTTGAGTACTTAGTGATAGCTTGATTATAAATAATATCGAATCGGTATGGAAATGGCTTCAAGAGTTGAGATTGATGAAGATAATGACAACAAGGGTAGCATGTGGGATTTGGATCAGAAGCTTGATCAGCCAATGGATGAAGAAGCTGGGAGGCTTAGAAACATGTACAAGGAGAAGGTATGTTTCAACTTATTTCGGATTTCTCGGTACAAGGCTTCGTTTGCTGTTATTTGAAATAAAGTAGATCTTGGCTCATGTTAATCTACCTTATTCGGGGAACTGATTTAAAGCCTTTCCTTTACATGAAATTGGAATTTACTTTAGTCTTTTATGCATTTTAACTGATTGTCTGAGATGAGATAAATGCAAGATAGTGTGTATAAAACTAGATTTGTTTTCAGTTTCGATGATATTGTCGTTCTTTTGTTATTTGGATCGGTTGTAGTTTCTGATATGGTTTTCAATTCCCTATAGAAATCCTCTGCATTATTGCTTCTGCGGCTTGCATTCCAAAGTCTTGGAGTGGTTTATGGTGACTTGGGCACTTCTCCCCTCTATGTTTTCTACAATACATTTCCTGATAAAATTGAAGATCCGGAGGATGTTGTTGGAGCTCTTTCATTGATTATATATTCCCTTACTCTTATACCGCTCCTCAAGTATGTGTTTGTTGTGTGTAAAGCAAATGACAATGGTCAAGGTGAGCTGATATCAGTGAATGAGGATATGCATGTTATAATTTAATCTGAGACGTGATTTTGACAAATGAAATGCGTCTTAATGCATCATAGCATGCGGAACCATAGGCTTGAACAGTTAGTTCTTTCATTATCCTAGTCCACTTCATTAATACTAACACTAATTTCACCTACTTATATTTGAATTATAACAAATCCTTCTCTTTCCGATGCTCATGAGATACACCGTTAAAATCAAACGTCTTTTTTTCCATGCAGGTGGAACATTTGCTCTATATTCATTGCTCTGCAGACATGCAAACATTAAAACAATTCCTAACCAACACAGAACTGATGAGGAGCTAACAACTTATAGTCGTTCTACATTTCATGAACGATCATTTGCTGCGAAAACAAAGAGATGGCTAGAGAGACACGTGTCCAGGAAGAATGCGCTTCTTATTCTTGTCCTGGTTGGTACATGTATGGTCATTGGTGATGGAATACTCACTCCGGCAATATCAGGTATTTTGCTTATACTTTGCCATCCGTGAACTCCGGTGACTGGATAAAAGGATTAAGATACCTTACCATTCTTGTTCGCTTCTTTCTGTTTGTTTTATGCTTTTAAAACAAATAAATGAAAAATATATTTACATTCATTGACCCTTATTTTATGAGAAAGTCGATGGAATTTTAGTCCCTGTATCTGTTTTTTACTTGTCAAATTGTTCTTAATTGGTAGCATGGAAATCTTATTATAACTCTGAAACCTAAGTTATGCTTTTCCGATCATACTCATCAGTGGAAAATTTTCTTTATCCACTTGATTTTCTACTTATTTAGTGGAATCACTTGGAGAATAGATGGAAGAAATATATTTCGAAATTTCAGTCTGTCGAAGTCTCCCTTATGCTTTATATTAAAAAAATTGATGCATGAGATAGGTGTGCCTTTTGGGATTATACATATGACCATCTGGTTGAGTGAAAGTGACATGGATTATGTGATCCAGAAAAAGAAAAGAAAAGAAAATGACATGGATTGTCTTGCCTTCTATTCTCATTGAACAGTGTTTATCTAAATCCAAGGTAACTCGTATTCTAATAAAGTCTTTTTCCTAAATGGTAATAAGTATTTGAATATTATATACATTTGACATGAGTAAGTTGTTCATAAAGAAACTTGAAATTTGACAGACATTTGCTTCCATACTTAACGCGAAATGCTAATATATTACGATTGTTTCCATCAGTATAATATCTTAACCAATTTACTCCTTGGAAATTCTGTATGATATATTGTCGATATGCTAATGTCAGCGCCTGCTACATTTGGCAGTTCTTTCAGCTGCAGGGGGCATCAAAGTAAACCGTCCACACATGGGCAATGGTATCTCTTTCTCTTCTTTCTTTTCATCCTTTGTTTGAACTCATTTGAAAATATTTAGCCACCTTTCTATGAGGCCGGTACTTATTTTCTTTACCGTTTTGCAGGTGTTGTTGTGATTGTGGCCGTTGTAATATTAGTAGGTTTATTTAGCATGCAACACTATGGTACAGATAAAGTTAGCTGGCTCTTTGCCCCAATTGTTCTTATTTGGTTTCTTGTAATCGGAGGCATCGGCATATATAATATTTGGAAGTACGACAGCAGTGTTTTGAAAGCATTTTCGCCTATATACATCTACCGGTATTTTAAGAGAGGAGGGAAAGACGGATGGACCTCTCTTGGGGGTATTATGCTTAGTATCACGGGTAAACTTACTATCATATATATGTTTATATCCCAAATATTTTCTTTACGGGTACGGAAACTGGTGAAATTATTTTGATGACTGAATGATCCATTACAGGTACGGAGGCACTTTTTGCAGATCTATCGCATTTTCCAGTTTCGGCTGTGCAACTCGCTTTTACTGCAGTTGTATTTCCTTGCCTTCTCCTAGCATATTCTGGACAAGCTGCCTACCTTATCAGTAACAGAGACCATGTCGTTGATGCATTTTATCGCTCTATCCCAGGTTTGTTCTAATATCTATTTTATGTCATTATAATCTTGTGTTTTATCTATTTGTTGATTGTAATTACTTGTTTATAATGCAGATAGCATATATTGGCCTGTTTTTGTCATTGCTACTGCTGCTGCTATAGTTGCAAGTCAAGCTACAATAACGGCGACCTTTTCAATTATCAAACAAGCCCTTGCACTTGGTTGTTTTCCACGAGTGAAGGTTGTACATACGTCGAAGAATTTCCTTGGTCAGATATATGTTCCGGATATTAATTGGATCCTTATGATTCTTTGCATTGCCGTTACGGCTGGATTCAAAAACCAAAGTCAAATTGGAAATGCTTATGGTAAGTTATCATCCCTTCCTACTTTTATCGAAGTTTTTTAATGCATCTTCCGTTCTGTTGGAAATTCGTCTGGCTGGAAAACACACATCTCGAAATGTCAAAATTTATATGAGATTTAGTGTAGAAAATTTTAATCTGCTTGCTGAGAGGCCAAGTGTTCACCATCATCAGGAGGATTCTGTTGTGAACTCATGGTATCATTTCGATCGATACATGTACCTAATAATTACACTTAATTGTATCGTAATCTATGTGAATGCAGGGACGGCTGTGGTGATCGTCATGTTGGTAACGACGTTGCTTATGACTTTAATCATGCTTTTGGTTTGGCGATGTCATTGGATTCTTGTCCTCCTCTTCACCGGCTTGTCCTTGGTTGTGGAGTGCACATACTTTTCTGCTGTACTCTTCAAGATAGATCAAGGTGGGTGGGTTCCTCTTGTTATTGCAGCAGCCTTTTTGCTCATCATGTATGTTTGGCATTATGGTACGCTGAAGCGATACGAGTTTGAGATGCACAGTAAGGTTTCGATGGCATGGATTCTGGGGCTTGGTCCTAGTTTAGGCTTAGTTCAAGTTCCCGGAATTGGGTTAGTCTACACCGAGTTAGCAAGTGGTGTTCCTCACATATTTTCCCACTTCATCACTAACCTACCTGCCATCCATTCGGTGGTTGTTTTTGTCTGTGTGAAATACCTTCCCGTCTACACCGTTCCGGAAGAAGAAAGGTTCCTTGTGAAACGCATTGGGCCGAAGAATTTCCACATGTTTCGTTGCGTTGCTAGGTATGGCTACAAAGACCTTCATAAGAAAGATGATGATTTCGAGAGAAAGCTATTCGATAGCCTCTTCTTATTCGTGCGGCTCGAGTCAATGATGGAAGGGTGTTCAGATTCGGACGAATATAGCTTGTATGGCCAGCAAACCGAGCCGTCCAGGGACGGTCTGTTGAACAACAATGGCCACACAACTTGCTCGTTTGTCGATACCACAGTTTCATCAGTGGATTCAATTGTGCAGGTGAGATCTCCGATGCATGCAGGTGTGACGGTAAGATCGTCGGGGCAAGTAAGCAGCCAGACGGAGATGGATGAGTTAGAATTTTTGAATAGCTGTAGGGATGCCGGGGTGGTACACATCATGGGGAACACTGTGGTGAGGGCAAGAAGAGATTCAAGATTTTACAAGAAAATAGCAATCGACTATATTTATGCATTTCTTAGGAAGATATGTAGGGAACACAGTGTGATTTTTAATGTTCCTCATGAGAGTCTGTTGAACGTAGGACAGGTTTTTTATGTGTAAAATGCAAGGGATTTTTGCTAATTTCATCAATAAAAAACCAGTAAATTACATTTTAATTTCCAAGTAGATTCCATTACTTGTCAACTTCGGAAAAGAAACTCGAACTCGGCTCGGCTCAGCTCTCAAGCAAGTTTTGAGCATTTTAATGGCAACTTGAGTTGCAGCAACGTGATTCTAATCGTGATAAATGTGAGAATTATAGTTGCAAATGTTACATGTTTTTAAAAAAGATTTTCATGTAACATATTTGTTTGTGCACAAGTAGACAATTTCACGAAAATTTATTTATATTTTAGTTCAATATGACATCAATACCTCTAATCAATATTCTCATTGAAAATAGAGAAATCAATAGCGGTTATAAAGACTGAAAAAGATACTTGCATATTGTTTTAAGTTGTGAGAAAACAAGTTTGTGCTAGGTGAACCTTGTCCAAGTGAAAGGGATGTTCAATCCAATAATTGATAGAAATAAGGGTGATTATCCGGCGAGTTTGGTGTGCTCGTTAAAAAATTTGTTGCTCGACTCGAATCAACTCGTTGCTCGTTAGGCTCGTTAAAATTTTGCTCTACTCGTGCTAATTAAGAAAACTCGTTACTCGACTCGTTGCTCGTTAAGCTCATTGCTCATTAAGTTCATTATTCGTTAAGCTCGATGCTCATTGCTCGCCTCCTTATTTGTTAAGATCATTGAAATTTTTACCTTATTTTCTTAACTATAGTAAAATCTATCAATACTATATAGAGCTTAATATAAACATAAATTAATAAATTTAACTAAAAAGTTATCAAAATAGTGTATGAAGTAATTTTAAAGTATAAACTGCAAAGTAACAATCATCAAATATATTAAAATAATAAATTAAGTTTGTTTTTTTAGTGTATGAAATAATTTTTTAAGATAAATACTAAAAGTATATATAAAAAAATTTAACGAGCTGCTCGCAAACTTATTGAGTCGAGTTTGATTTTGCTCGACTCAACTCGTTAAGGTCTCAAGATGAGGTCGAGTTCAAATCGAGTCAATCCAAGTCGAGATTTTATCGAGTTTCGACCGAGTCGAGTTTTTACCGAATTTCGACCAAATCGAGTTCTAACTGCTCGCGAACTATTCAACTCATTAAGCACCCTTAGACAGAACGAGACCAATAAGATAGCTCGTTGGTCGTCATTATGTTATGACAAGTATAAATAGTAGTACTACTAGAGTAGATTGAGGGGTAGATGAAGTCATTCGCTTCCTAAAATATTAAAATTATCATACATTTTAGATTTTTTTTTTGTGTATTTTGTTTGAAAATCTCTTTTCCTCTCTCTAAAATTCTATAAATTCATTCATTTCTAAAATTTTAAAAATTTGTCCTAATATAAATTTATACATCTATCCATGTACGAGAGGTATTACAAAGTTTACGAGATCATAAAAAATCTAAAAGAGCCGTTTGAGGTCAGATTACCTAGACTCAACAATACATGATTTATAGTCTAATGAATTGTAAACAAAAACTTTAGATTCTCTGAATCTATCAATGATTCAGTAGTAAAAGAAATATTGTCCTATAAAATATTAAAAATATTATAATTAAGAAAACCTTATTTTTTTAAAAAATATAAAAAAAACTTAAATCCCTAAAAAAATTAAAATCATCCCTAAATTTCATAACCCTACCTTACCATCTCTTTTCTCTGCTACGATCACTGATGTCTTCGTTGAACTTGTCATCTCCTTTGTCGATTATCGGCTCCCTTGTCGTCGTGTTTTCCGTCAAGTCGCATGAATGTCGCGATTTGAAGTTTTGTTTGTAGGGTTCATCAGGCCTTGTCGTCAGGAGGAGGTTTGATCAAAGATACTGACAATCGGCGTGAGTACAAGGATTGTAATTAGGGTTTTTTAAAGTTTTTAATTTGTTAAGATTTGAGAAAATTTTGGATTTTAAAATATAATTTTAAATTTTTATTTTAAATAATTTTTTAAAATTATATAAGTATGACATGTGTTACTTAATAGACTTTTTTAACCATCGGCGTGAGTATAGGGATCATAATTAGATACTTGAGTTGATAAAAGCAATTAAACACCTAAATAATAAAAAATATAATTTAAACTTTTTTTATTAAGCCTGTAAAAAGTATTAAGACAATAAAACCAACACATTTAAGAGAATAAGATGAGGTATGGAATGTAATAAAAAAATGACTCATTTTGCATGAACTAAGTGGTTAAAGAAATCGTTGTTGTTTCTAGAAGCTATCGGTGATCAAGCGTTCATTGTAAAATAGTTGAGAGTATATAAAACATATAATACTTTGAAATTATCTTAACTTAATAAAAAAACGACTCATTTTAACATTTTTTAAGACATAAACAGATCCCATATAGTGATAGATGTATTAAGGGCCGAGGGTAGGCACGTGCCCAGCCTGAAATTTAAATTTTCTTCGATTAGTTACTTATTTTACTAATGGTGCCTACTATGAAAATTTATTGTGCCTACCTCGAAATGTGAATTTTCTTCGATTATGACATATTTCATTAATGATGTCTATCCTAAAATTTTATTTATACCTACCTTGTTAAAGAAAAATTATATTGTTAGAATATATGTTTACGCTTAAAAATATTTCTTGATCCGCCATTGATATTGTATCTTGTACATTTACTGCCCCATTAGCTTAGCTACCAAAATAAACATCTGGACTAAAGTACTCTCTTAAAAAGAATACAAATTAAAATAATTATTTAATTAAATATTATTAACAAATATTTTATCGTAACATTATTGACCGATGACATAATTAATCCATTAAAAAGAGAGCCGACCTGAGCTTAGATTGACAATAAATATTAAATAATACGGCTGGGAAACTAAGGAGGACCGAAGACAAAGCCCTACCATTTTGTGGGTACGTGGCAGAACACTATTGATTTTACGACAATTTCTTTTGGTTTCAAAAAAAAATTACATGGTTGATAATTTTTATTTATATTTTATATACCTTTCATCAATGATTTTAAAAAATATAATATATGTTTACTTTTGTTTTTATTTAATTAAGATATAATAATTTTCGTTAACTTTTGTTGGATTTTAACATATTATTAACATGACATAGTGGATATATTAAATTAAAAAGGGTAATTTACATAAATAGTCATTAATATTTGAATAAATTTTATTTTTCTATTGAAGTTTTTAAAATAACAAATTGATCAAAACCATTTTGTGATATACGTCTCTCTAAGAGGTTTCTTCATCTCCTTACTCCACATCGCCCATTAAGAGTAGAAAAACACCCAGAAAAATAAAAGCCATTAAAAAGAGAGAAAGAAAATTCACCTTTGGATTGAAAATTTCCCATACTTTCTCACCCTTAAATTCTCGTCTTCATCTGTATGAAATACTTCATTAAATTTCTGTAGCCCACTCTTCTGGGTTAATATATGACAGAGAGAGATAATAGAAGAATCATAAGGAACTATTTGATGAATTAGTGACTAATTTGTTAATTTTGAAATTTTAGTGGAAACTCAAAAATTTACTCAAATATTAGTAACCATTTCTGTAGTTTACACTTTTTAATTTTATATATTCATTATGACACATCATTAATCCGTTAAAAATCTAACGACAGTTAACCTTCAATGACTACATCTTAATTAAATGAAAACGAAAGTAACCAATTTTTTTATAATTTAATTAAAAAGGTGGACAAACATTGAACGAATGTAATCAATCACGTAGTTGAAAAAGGGTAAATTACATGTTTACTCACTAAACTTTACTCTCTTATTTTACATATTGTACTTTTAATTTTTTTAATTTAATTACTTTTATTTTTTTAAATTTAATCACTAAACTTTATACATTGAATTTTTTAATCACTTAACCGTTAAATTTTTAATGTGATTATGATGTGGCTCAGTTAAAATAATTTTTAATTTAATACAATGTTTTTGGGCGAAAATTTTAGAATAATCCATTTGGATTTTTTATTTCGTAAAATAATGTAGTTTGCAGTTTATTTCTTTTGAACGGGGAGAATAGTATAGTACATTAGAGAGTTGCACGGTGATCTATTATGCGACCAAGGAGAAGCACCATGCGTACAATATGTTTCCCACCGCGTTTTAACATTTTTCTTGTTTGGCTCTGCTCCCCTGCACCTAGATTGTCGACTGAAGCTTCACGTGAATTGATGCATGCATGGCAGCAATAACTCATTCAATTAGCAACAATAAATGGCAGCAAAAATTAGGAACGATCCTTAAACTTTTAAGCATCACGTAAAGGCCATTTTTAAAGTTGCATGGTAGCAATAAATTCTAAAAAAAATGGTACACTATTATTGTATCAATAATGGCAACAATTATTATGTATAGCGATGGTGTGTGTGTATATATATATTAAATGATACCCCGGGTGAAATGGAGCAATCAGTGAAAAGAAGAAAGAAAGGAAGGAAGAAGGAAAGGTAATTTTTTATTTATTTGTTTTGGTTGATTATTTTATTCATACATTAGTATAAATGATTTTTTGTTATTTTTATTTAAATTAATTTGTTAGTTTAGATTATTTTTAGATTAAATTATTTTTGTTTAAATCAATGTTTAGATTAATTTATTATTTTTAAAAAGGTATTTTTTTCTTACAGATTCTTTCAATGGCATAACGAAATCAACTACTTTATCTTGACAATTAACATATTTCTAGCAATTTGAGAGCGATGATGTTATTATTTTTTAATAATATATTATATTTTATTTTTGAGAACGAATTACTATTATTAAATGGTCGAAGTTTATTTTATGATTAATTAATTAATTTCATTAATGAATTAATTGTAGGAGGACGAGCAGTGAGTCCTTCGTCTTCGGGTCAATATTCTCAAGAAGCCACACTGTTTGATTGAAAAAAAATTACAACAGGCTGGATTTTATTAGGTAACATTTGTTCGAGAATACAAATTGGTCTCGGGTTTGATCAGCGCGCTGATTGAACGGTGGAGACCAGAAACACATATATTTCATTTAGCGTACGGAGAATGCACGATAACTCTATAGGATGTGGCCATGCAACTCTGGGTCCCAACAAACGGGATGCCAGTGGTGCTGAAATTTTTTTACGAAAATGTGGAAGTTCTTTGCAATGGTAAGCCCAAATTAAAAAGGGCGACGTTTGAGGCTATCGTGGTTGAAGAATCAATTTAAGCTCGAACGAAATAGTACCAAACATGAAAATTTATATGCAACTCGAGCATATATATTACAGTTGATTGGGGAAGTTTTGATGCCGAATAAATCTAGTAATCTGGTTCACACACAATATCTCCCGTTTTTGAGTAATTTTTAGAATACTCGTCAATACAGTTGGGGATCAGTGATATTGGTGTTCTTGTACTGTGAGATATGCAAGGCATCATTAACCGTAAATGATTCTAATACAACAAAAATCGATGAATGTTTGATGTTGCTACAATTATGGGCTTTTCATAGACTTCCATTTATAACACCGATTAGTCGAACCGCTATTGACTTTCCTCTTGCCTGGAGATAATATTTTTATATTTTAATTTTTAATTTTAATTAGAATTTATATATTGTGATTAAAAATAATTAATGAATAATTTTTTATTTTTATATTCAAATGAAGGCATAAGATAAAAAGAACATGGTTGGTGCATAATAATAGTAAAGAGTTTAGGTTTAAGATCGACAATTATAGCAAAAAAGAGGTATAATAATATTAATATAATAATATATTTTTATAATTATTTTATTTATGTTTATTTTTTTAAATTTTTTATTTATAATTTTATAATGCATAATTAATTTTTATAAATTTTAATTGTATTGTTTAATTGGAGGTCGTACGTAGAGGAAGAAATTATTGTGTGTGTGTCACAAGACGTTTGGGATGGTTGTGAATATTGGTGTATTGTTACATCATTGATTCATTTTACTTTTGTTAAGATCTAGTTTTCTGATAGAGTGATGAGGTAGTTCGGCTTCCACCAGCCTATTCTGCAGATTCTACGTGATCATTACCACCTTCACATTTTAGATGGACGAGGTAAAAACAAAGTGGATTGGGTTGCAAAGCATGCAAAATACATTAATAATTGGAACAACAGAGCTTCACACTTGCCAACTCTTTATCCCATTCAAGATGATGACTTTGATTTTAAAACTTTGGCTTACCTTCATTATTATTGGGATAATAGAAAGTCATACATAACAATGTTGGGACAAAGGCGACAATTTACCAAATTTAAGAAAACATTTGGTAAAGACAAAAAATTTATTCCGAGTGGAAGTGGGAGTTCATCTCAACAACATGAAGCGAAAACAACACCTGATAATAGCTCAACACCACAGTTTGCTGATTCTGCTGTTCCAGCATACATACATGGGTTTGGAAATCCTCAGCTGTATGAGTTTATGAATCCTCATACGCTTATATACTTTTCCATGTTTGAATCAACGCATGATTTTGAGAAATGACATTTATGATGTCAAATACGATTATTTTTCAATCTACGTTACTAGTAGAGATGGGAGAGAAGAGTGGTGGGATGGGATATCATAGTGGTGGGCATATATTTTCAGGGAATGATGAGGATGACTACTACACTCCTGAGTAAGCGCAACGACCACAATGCACTTAACGTCTGCCTATACATTATTATTCCATAGTATCTAGGCATGGACAAGAATTATAAACTCCATTTTTTTATTTTTTCTACTTGTATAAAAGTTAATAATAAATAAAATGTGAAAATTCATCACACTGACTCAAAAATAAATAGGAAAAACTAAATGTTCATCCATTCAAATAAAATATGGAAATCCATCACACTCGTTCAAATTGAACTAAAAGAAATTCAAATATTCATTCCAATACAAATACATATATGATTACTAATGAGGCATTTATCCTTGTAGATTTGGAATTTTTTTCGAATGACCATTACCCATAAATAATTCGTATCTCATTGGTTAAACTTTCTCTCAACTATGAAAATCCATATTGGTATGAATACGAGTGGACTCAGGTCAACTCTTTGGACCTCTACGAAGCATTGGTTTTTGCATCCATTCGTCATGATCATTTTTCGGCCAATATGATTCATTTGGAATTGAAGCGAACTCATAGCTATAGACATTTAATATCCTTTGTAGGTGAAAACACTCATCAACATAATTGTACAGGCTTACACCAACATGCATACATGCAGCGACTACATGAGCACATGTATATCTCTATGCCTGAAAGCGTCCACAACCACACCATCTGTGTCGCAAATCAACTCTAAATATTTGAGCTTCTCCTTCTTCGTTGCATCGTATAAATAACTTTTGAACTATATTATAATATAACAATTAAGAAAAAATGTTTTTGGACTTGAATTGAATTTATTCAAAGTTTTCAAAAATAATTCAAAGTCCATTTAACTAGGAATTGGGAACAAAATGTTTTTCTGGACAAAAAGTATTGATAATGTTCTTACAGTATTGATACATCACGAACATTATCGATACTGTTCATATGGTACTGATACCAAATGTAAGGGAAGTATCGATACTCACTAGGTAGTATCGATACTACCTGTAATGCTAAAATTCCAGAATGCAAAAATGGTACTGATACCCAAAGGGGTACCAATACTACTTTACATAGTAGTATCGATACCATAGGCTTAGTATCAATACCGTCAGGCCCAAGGACTACTAACAGCTAGTTTTATTTAAAATTAACAAAGGTAGTAACGATATTCCCTTTAGGAGTACCGATACCCTCTGTATTGGGCAATTTTATTTTGCAGAGAAAACATCCCCAAATCACTCCCAACAACTATAAATGACCACAACTTCATTCCAACATATAAATACAAGTTCAAGACACTTGAAGAAGGGTTAGAACAACTATTCAAGCAATCAAACACAAGAGAAGAACTTTTAACCCTTTATTCCAATTCTCTTATAAATATTTTGTTCTTGTGAGCTTTAATTCTTTGTAAACACCTACTTTAGAGAGGTTTTATTTGTTTACTTCTTTTTATACTTATATAAAGGGATTTGGTTCTAGTTTAGCCAAGTGAAAAACTAGGGAGTTATAAAGGTTACTCTTGATCATTGAAAGAGAAAAAACAAATTATTGAATTTGTTAGAAAATCCTTAGTGAGGAACTAAGGTAATGTTAGAGTATGCCCAAAGACCAATCATATGATGATTGTAATAATACTTTTATTTACCGATTTTATTGAATAAAGACATTGCCATTATTATTTTCAATTATATATATGTTTTAACATAAACTGGAAGATAATAAAGTCCATATAATGACATAATTGTTATTATTAAAAGATCCCTAGTCAAGTATTATTATGGGCATGGACAATAATAATACGCTTAAGACTAACATATTATTGATTGATGACAATGAGTTGTCATTGACTTATAAGTGTCAGAATTGATACATGATTATATCGTTAGAGAACAATGTATTGGATTGACCCACCATGAGCATGTGTCTTGGATTATTATGTGACAGTCATAACATTGCTCATGGTGATGACTATATGTATGATCCTCAGACTTGAGATCAATATTATCCCAACATATATTGTTATATATAAAGGACATAAGGATGTAATACATAAAAGAGTTAATCACCAAGATGACATGTCGAATCATATTTTCTTGTAACTTAGGTGACAATGATACATTGTTAAATGTCACTCATTGTATGTAATATTAGAATTGTTCTAATAATTACTACTAACGTTACAAGAACCTACAGGGTCACACCCTAGGATTGAAACGAGCAAAGATGTACAATTTGTTGTATGATACTAAAATATATCTAGAGTTAATTAAGTATATGTTTTAATAATCCTGAATATTTAATTTCAATTAATTAAATATAGATTTAATTAATTTGAAATAATAAAATCCCTAATATGATTAGAGTAACTTGGATATAAAAGGATTATTAAATTCTAATTAATTAAATATAGATTTAATTAATTTGAAATAATAAAAACCCTAATATAATTAGGGTAACTTGGCTATAAAAGGGTGTGTTAGGTCTTGCAGCCGTTTTAGAGAACACACACAAAAACCTTCAGCCATTTTTCTCTCAAAACGGTTTTGGGGAAAAACAAAATTGTTCTCAATCGGGTGAACTGAGTAGAGGCCGAGACGTGATTTCGTGGAGGCTTACGATTCGAACCGATATACACCACCAATATTCACTACTGTCCTTACTGTTTTTCAAGGAACCCGCTGTAACTATTTGCATCTCTTCCTCCTGATTTCGGTTTTTTGTACTTGGATCACTGGTGAGACCGTCGAGTTTTGTTTCCACTATACCATGGGGTGTGCCGACGGTCCCAACAGTGGCATCAGAGCCACTTGTACGATCTGAATTTGGGTTAAATTTTTGGTTGATGCGATATGTATGAGATGCATATTCTAGTTTTATCGATTTCGGTAAATATGTTAATATCATTGTTCGAATTGATAACCGCAACAATTAATATGTTAATCTGTTAATATGTTTTTCAATTAATTTGTTGCTGGATGATCTGTGGGAGTTCGATAACATATCGCGTTTGGAAGTGGAACAATGGTTGTTTTGATGCAGAAAACATTCGGGATTGAAAATCCCAAAAGCACGATTCTGTTGATAATTGTTATCAAATCATGAAGTTTTTCCATGGAAACATAAGTACAAATTGAAGGCCAGTATAATTTGTTTTAACAAAGTCGTAAGAACGTGTATATATATATGATATGTTTTTTTGCACGGTATTTGACATGCATGGTTTTAGCCCTTGTTCACTTTATAATGGTTTAATTTGAAATACGGTCTGCGAGCCGTGCCTTTCTATATCTCTTTTGTATTTCTCTTCTCATCTTACTCCCTCGTATGTAAAATGAGTTTCTTTTAAAATTGTAAACCTATGAATATTTACAAGGAGCAGAAGAATGGCCAGAAGATGCCTAGAGAGTAGTCTTAGGCTTTAGGGTTCTTAGTTCTCCCATTAACTTGGGATGGGCCACCTTAGTCATTGGTTTGGGCTATAACCATTGCATCTTATTTATTGTTATATTTGTTATATATGCAATACATCAAATGATAAAATAAGAATAAATATTGATGAGATCAATAAGGGCCTAATATTAAAACGAACAACGATGAGATAATTACGTAAATCCCTCTTTATAATCTAAGTTAACTTAACCGTCCAATATTTACCCTCGTTAAGGCTTTGATCGATATTGTGTGGGCTTTGCCAAAGCATTGGCATATAAATCTATCTTGGTTAAATGCGAAGAATAAGCAAGTGATATTCACCAGTTGAAATATTGGTAATAACTTAGCTAGGTTATTCTAATAGGATTAGAAACCTAGAGGTTAAATATTTGGATAAGTCATGATATGACTTGAACAAAAGTTGTTCACCAAAATGAGGAGTTACATGAGATGTAACTAGTCAAGTGTTACTTACCTAAATAATCACTATCCTAAAATAAAAGCCAAAGCTGATTTAGGAAATTGATGTATTACCCACTAGAAAAAATTTCGTTAATTTTTTCTGAAATTAAAACAAAGAGGGTTTTTAATTTTGAATAAAATAGTGGGAGTAATTTTTAAATAAAGTCCTATTTATAAATTTTAATTCAGTAAATTTACTTACTTTAATATTTCCATTATTCTAGATTTAATGGCAAACAACACTTTAATACTGCGATTACTCCTTGAGAAGGATAAACTTAATGGTATAAATTTCTTTGACTGGTTTCGTAATTTGAGAATTATTCTCAAACAGGAAAGAAAGAATATGTCATTGAGGAACCTGTTCCTGATGAACCGACAACTAATGCTTCAAAAGCTGACAAAGACAAATTCAAGAAACATATGGATGATATGTTAGATATTGGATGTCTAATGCTTGCCACCATGACTCCTGAGCTTCAGAAGCAACATGAGGACATGGTTGCAAATGAGATGATTCAAAATCTCAAAGAAATATATGAAGAGAAAGCACGTCAAGAGAGATATGAGACCTCTAAAACTCTATTTCAATGCAAAATAGCAGAGGGAACTCCTGTAGGAGCTCATGTCATCAAGATGATGGGCTACATCCAAACGTTGGAAAAGCTGAGATTTCCTCTCAAAGATGAATTGGCTACCGATGTTATCCTGCAATCGTTGCCAGATAACTTTAGCCAATTTGTCCTTAATTTCTACATGAATGAAATTAACAAGACTTTGCCACAGTTACTTGGCATGTTACGAACTGCTAAAAGTAACATGAAAAATGTTGGACCTAAGCCCATTCTGATGGTCCACAAGGACAAAGGAAATGGAAAGCAAAAGGTAGTGGCAAAGTCTAAGGGCAATGGTAAGACAAACAAAAAT